AGTGAACTCTATTATAGGAATGTGGGTAGTTAAGCTGGCTTACTTAATAAAAAGTGAACAGACATTCCACCAAACAACATTTATGGGAAAAGGAGTTTTTACTTCATGTACTACAATGCTGGTATTTAAATGTATTTTATTTTTGATTAATAGTAGTTTATTTTTATTTATTGCCAAATAATTTATTTTAAGAAAAAATATTTCTGTTCATAAAGGAAAAATTTTATTATGTTCAATGCAAAAAATTCGTAGTTTTGTGAAATCATAACTGTCCAAAAATGTTGTATTTTCAATCGCAACTATTTATGTTCGAGTATCATTGAATGACTGTATGGCATAGTTGGCATTTTCTTACTCTTCATAGAATTCATATTTTATGTCCATGACCTGGAAAATACATAGCATTCTTTAAGCAAACTATGACTATATTGGGTTGCCATGGAATTTAACATTTAAAATTCTCTTTAAAATGTCAATAACTCTTATTAGAAGAATAGAATATTCACATTATGTTGTTCAATTGCTATGATTTAAACATGACTTGTATTTCAATTTATACTAACATCATAAATCAATTTTGATAGAAGCAAAAATGAATTTGAAACAATGACAAAGTGTCGGGAGTACCGGTACAAACGCCTTCACTTGATTTTATTTATTAAGGACACCGAGTAAGCCAAGTGCGTGTGTGTGCTGGCCAATCAAATAAATAATGGCTATAACCACCGCCACCACCACCACATATCGTATCGGTTTCCAATAATAATCTATCAATAAGGAAATCACTGCGAGGCGCATGTTTGTAGACAGATAAATCAATGGCTTTGATGACAGACAACAAAAAAACAAAAATTACAGTGGGTGGTAGCAAAACGATATATAGCGTTATTAATACACAACCAGAAATAGGTAAGGATTGAAATGTGATAGCAAAATATAAGTAAATACCAAATAATGAGAGAGTTGCACCATTATATGGTGCCTGTTGCCTTAATCTAATATTCATTGTAGAGTTGGACAATATCGTTCCTGAAACGGTTCGATCGGTTTCCGTTCGTCCCGTAAAAAATAAACTAGGCCATTCATTTGGTTCCATAGTTCCTTTTGGATGATATGGATGAACGACAGAATCAAACAGGAGAAAAATGAACCTTGTACCGATAGTTTATTTTTGTGGATTAGTTCATTTGAAGTAGTTTGTCCCAGAGGGACCTAACACTAATTGAAAGTCGACTAATATTGAACGTTTTTGGTAGGTAAAATTTCCTAAACATTTAGTTTTTTGCACAATACATTTGTACCGCGCCTGAACTAACTATGAAGTAGAGTCATACAGTCTTTCCTACCATCTACATACACTCGATATTCTATGAATATCTGTCTATATATAAAATAGGTTTGTTCTCGTTAGATTCCGAACAATTTGACAATCATCCAAAAATGCCTCATACCAATGTCACAGTTGAAGAAATATGGATCTATGCGAATGAGGCGGAAATCAAACAGTAGATCTTTGAAGACGAGCCAAATCCAATGAAAATTGTTCGTGGAAAAATCATTTCGAAGGAAATGGTCGCCTGGTTAATATAGTGGTCATATAGCGACAATTCCGTTTCAGCAACGTAGCACGACCAATGGTTACTGTGAAATTAGAAAAACTAACCTTAACGATGTGAGCTCTCTCATATCGGTTGAAAACAGCAACTTTGGACCTTCAACAGTCTGAAATTGGTAGCACCCAAAAACTTCATATTATTGTCGCACATCTAGAAAAAAATGCGTGCTCAACGATGTTCTTCCGTAGAAAATGTTGAAACATTCAAAACCCCTGCAACAGGAGTATCAACATATTGCAACACCTCTAAATATTCCTCAAACACTCCATAAAGTATAAATATCAATTTAGCCATGTCCGTCTGTGTGCCTCCTGCATTTAACACAAAATTTAAGATAAATGATCAACATTGACTCAAGATTCTGGATAGCGCCACATGTAACAGAAGCACCACATTGTATATATCTTCGTAGTTTATGTTTTTATACACTTCACCACACTGTGCACGAAATTTGGCACAGTGTAATGGAATAGGTCTAGAATGATGTGTGTTAAGTTTCCTGAAAATCGGTCCAGATTTAGATATAGCTCCCATATATATATTTTCGACCGATTTAATGTAAATAGTGCACCAAAGTCCCTATATATCATTCGATTTGCACGAAATTTGGCACAGCGTAATGAATTAGGTCTAGAATGATGGGTGTTAAGTTTCCTAAAAATCGGTACAGATTTAGATATAGCTCCCATATATATTTTCGCCCGGTTTAATGTAAGCTCCTATATATCTTTCGATTTGCACGAAATTTGGCACAGCGTAATCAAATAGGCCTAGAATGATGTGTGTTAAGTTTCCTGAAAATCGATTCAGATTTAGATATAGCTCCCATATATATTTTCGTCAGATTTAAGATAAATGATGTACCAAAGTCCCTTAATATCTTTCGGTGTGCACGATATTTGGCACAGCGAATGAATTAGGTCTAGAATGATGTGTATTATGATTCTTGAAATCGGTTCCGATTTATATATAGCTTCTATATATGACCAAATGAAAAATTTATTATCGGTTGCAGAATGGCATGTTTATTGATCCAATTTCATTTTATTGTTCCTTTAAAAATGCGACGTCTGTTAGGATTCATGTGTTGAATATACCCAAAGTGGTGAAGGGTATCATATAATCGGCCCCGTCCGACATTACTACTTCACTTACTGGTTTGTGGATAGGTTTTGTCCCATGTTTCGTGATAGTCCCTACATATAATACCATTCTCTATCATTCGATATTTTTATAGTTTGAACACGTTTTGACCCTATCAATTATAAATATACGTTCACGTTTTGCTATATACCCTCCACCATATCCGTTAGCAACACCTCGAAGCGGTAACCCCAATATTCGGTATTTTGGATAATAAATGGGTAGCCCACCATATAACGAAACCTCCAAAATTCCGAATTTCGGAGTTGGGCACGTTTTTCATTTTTTTTTTTTTTTTTTTTTTGGATTCTCCAATTAGGGTGTCTGTAGTTTGGTATTTAGTTTTAGGTATTGTGAATGTCCACCTCATGGTGGATGGTATTTAAAATTCGTCCGGCCGAACTTTATACTTCTTTTTATTTTAAAGGTGTTTTTCAATTGAGTTAGCTATAATATAATATTTTCAGATCCTATTGATATAGATAGTTTGTATATAGTCCTAGACGATTTTTTTCTAACGAGCTAAATGTCAAATTATAATCACTTCATAATGCTGGTGACTTGGCACTCCGGGACTTTGGTGGCACTCCGGGACATTGGTGGTAAAAATTTGCGCCAACAAGGAAGAAATATTTTTTTAAAAATAATCATTGAAAAAATAATTGCAAAAGTATTCTAAAAACATTCATATTTTTTGGAATCCCGCCATAATTTTAAATGGCTCTTGACTTTTTCAAAGGCCAGTCTTTCGTAAATTCTGAAAAAATAATGAATCTGCTGGCCGAACTTAACTATGTTTTTTTTTAAATAGTCAGACTCAATCCCAAGGTATAGGACAGTTCTCTTAACTTTTATAAATTCTTTACAAAATAGCTTCTGGGTCGAATATCCCGACATCTCCTAAAGGAAATGGGAAGGATCACTGGCGAAATCGGAAACTATAACCTCGCCTACCCCCTTATGATTTAATCACCCCATATTGAAAAAATAAAAAATCACACAAAAGGGATGGTTTCCCAGAGATGGTTGGAGGCCTGGTCGAAATTAACGCCGCTTCCGCTACATATTCCATGCACATGCTTTTTTCTCTGAGTGAACAAAAACATTTAATGTTTCGCCAATTTTTTTTAAATTAAATTCGCAATACCACACACTCACAATTGGGAAGACATTGACTTTGTTTTTATTGTTGTTATTATTATTTTGTTTATTGTTGCGGTGGTTGGATGGTTGGTTGGTATTGTTACTGGCAGAACAACTATCGAACAATGGACGTGGGATTTCCTTTGCAAATGTGATTTGCATTTTAATTTTTCTATTTTCTTTAGACTCTTTTTAATGGCAATTTCGTTGTTAGCTTTTTTGTTGTTGTTATTGTTATTTTTATCCCATAGTTGTTGTTGTCTTTTGCATATTTTATGATGTGACTGAGGTAGTTTGGTGTTATTTGGAGGTGTTACTTGTATTTTATGGGTTCTATTGGTGGCGGTGGTGGTGATGGTGGATAACAGGAAAACAAACGAAATCAAATTATGTATTACTTTATTTTTAGATTGATTTGTAAAACTGAAATTTTGCAACAACAAAAATTGGGTAGATGATTTTGGATAATAGATCAACAACATACATTTTAACAGACCTACAATATCAAATTAAATTAAAATGGTAGGCAAATATCGGGAACAAGTTTAGGGATTGATATGTTCTAAAAGCCCAAAACCCTTTCATGAATGTAATGTATGTGAATGTATGCTGAACTCTATGCGACATTTCCTAGAGACTAAAATTTTTGCAATATAATACCGAACCAAATATATATTTTTACATGGCATAATTATGCAAGGTAGTCTGATGCAATTTCTCAATTGAGGCTATCTTCCATAATTATGCCATGCTACCTTTATTGAAATGTGTTTTTTTATTCTTAAAAAATTGTACATTTAAATATAAGAGGGACTAATGAGTGTCTCAATTTTTCCTATACTTCACTTATCTATCCGTTATCTATTAAAGGGCTCTAAAAATTTAAAAATATTAATTACTTACAATTTTTTATAAGTTTCTGATTCATAAAATTTTTGATTTTCAATATAATAAAAACTTTTTTCTTTCTTGCAGATGTCAGATTTTTCGGATAGTTCACAGAGCGGTGTCATCAGCCCGGCCAGCTCGTTCATTGAAAATTTCCACAAGAAAAATGGCACAGTTACTGTCGTCGGTGGTGGTCCGGGCGGTGGGGCATCATCAACATCGTCGTCGGTCACAACATCGCCAAGTATTAGCATACCAAGCACCATTGGTGGCAGCACATCACCGTCCATCAATGGTGGTGGTATTGGTGGTGGCAATCAAATAGCCCTGGCCGGTGGCGGCAGTGGTAGTGCTAGTCGACAAATAAATGCCAGTTCCAGTAGTAGTGTTAAGGAAACATCATCAACATCGTCATCACAACAGGTAATTTCAAAATAAATTTCATTTTTTTTGTTATTTGTTAAAATGAGGCACCTTAATTGACAATCTGTAGTTCAGCGATATGCCTAAAAGTATGCTATAGTTTTTTGCATTTCTTTGCTTTATTTTATTGTGCAATGTGGAAATATGTTCCACATGAAATTAATGTTTAGGAACAATTAATGAAATATTCAATTATTTATTATTTAGGTGTGTTTTTACACCCTTCACCACACTGTGGTACAGGGTATTATGTCTTTGTGTATATGTTTGTAACAGGCAAACGAAAACGAGATAGACACATGGTTCCTTTTGAGAATGTGCATAGAATCACTTCCTGAGTCGATTTACGCATGTCCGTCCGTCCGTCTCCATCCATGTATTTTTGTTAACAAAGTACAGGTCTCATTTATGATCCGATTTGGATGAAATTTGGCATAGGTCACTTATTTGGCCCAAGGACGAACCCTATTGAAATTGGGAAAAATCGGTTCCGATTTAGATATAGCTCCCATATATATTTTCGTCCGATTTAATGTAAATGGTGCACGAATGGTCTTTCGGTTTGCACGAAATTTGGCACATCGTAATGAATTAGGCCTAGAATGATGTGTGCTGAGTTTCATTAAAATCGGTTCAGATTTAGATATAGCTCCCATATATAGTTTCGTCCGATTTTAAGTAAATTGCCCACCAAAGTCCCTATATATCTTTCGATTTGCACGAAATTTAGCATATCGTATTCAATTAAGTTTAGAATGATGTGTGCTAAGTTTCGTGAAAATCGGTTCAGATTTAGATATAGCTCCCATATATAGTTTCGTCCGATTTTACGTAAATGGTGTACCAAAGTCCCTATATATCTTTCGATTTGCACGAAATTTGGCACAACGTAATGAATTAGGCCTAGAATGATGAGTGCTGAGTTTGATTAATATCGGTTCAGATTTAGTTATAGCTCCCGTATACAGTTTCGTCCGATTTTATGTAAATGGTGCACCAAAGGCCCTATATATCTTTCGATTTGCACGAAATTTGGCGCAGCGTAATGAATGAAGTATAGAATGATGTGTGTTAAGTTTCCTGAAAATCGGTTCAAATTTAGATGCAGCTCCCATATATATTTTCGTCCGATTTAATGTAAATGGTCGACCAAAGTCCCTATATATCTTTCGATTTGCACGAAATTTTGCATATCGTATTCAATTAAGTCTAGAATGATGTGTGCCAAGTTTCGTGAAAATCGGTTCAGATTTAGATATAGCTCCCATAAATATTTTCTTCCAATTTAAGGTAAGTGGTGTACCAAAGTCCCTTAATATCTTTCGGTTTGCACGAAATTTGGCACAGCTTAATGAATTAGGTTTAGACACACACATCATGTTAAATTTCCTGAAATCGGTTCAGATTTAGATATAGCTTCTATATCTGACCAAATGAAAAAATTGGTATAGGTTGCAGAATGACATGTATATGGATCCAATTTCATTTTGATGGTCAAAGTGGTGAAGGGTATCATATAGTCGGCCCCGTCCGACTTTACTACTTTCCTTACTGGTTTTAATTCCGAATAAAACATTGATATTTTTTCCTTAAAAATAGGAATTTGTTAAAATGGTTTATAACAGATTGGGTCCAACTTACATAAAAGCAATAATTCCAATTTTGTAAAATGTTTTCTTCGATATAGTTGTGGTCTCCTGATTTTATGTGGTTTTAATGGGATTTTTCGGAATAGGCTTGGGGTATAGAGTAATGGCTGCAACATCATTGGTATGTGTGTGTTTTTTTTTTGTGTTAGACCAAGACTATATTATCGTGCTAAAGCCAATTTTTGTGGCTTTCCCCAAATCCCAAGAATTTTTTTGCCAATAGCCTATTTTGGACAAATATTACTCTACAAAAAAAAAAAAAAAAAATACAACGCGTGCCTAATATTAACCGACAAATGTTTATTTAGTAATTCTATTGTATTTGAATTTCGCATCACTATTATTTATTTGTTTTTTTTGGTTTTTTTTTATATTTAATTTTTGCATATGAAATCATTTATTTTTGGAAATTGTGGGCGCTTTTTTTTTTGACAGAATGTCTTATCTAATCAATAGCCGTAAAGACGAAGTGTTTAAATAAAATTAGCGTCATTGGTTTACACTTTTTTTATTTAAACAAAAAATAAATAAATACTTTTAATTCCCTGAATTGTGACGTGTTAATATATTTTTGTGAATTTTTGTTAAACATTTCCAAAAAAATTTAAATGTTTTAAAATAATGACCCAAAGGACATTAATTGATTTTTAATCAAAAAGAGAGTTACATGAATGGTTGTGATAAGAATGGTTTATTATGTTTTCGTTTTTATACCCTACACAACTATGTTGTCAGGGTATTATAGCTTTGTGCAGCCCAAATGTTGGTAACGCCGCGAAATATTGGTCCTAGACCCACCATTAAGTATCGTCATATCTCGACTAGCTGAGTCCATCTAGACATGTGTGTCCGTCCGTCCGTCTGTCCATTATAATTTGTAAACACGATACAGGCCACAGTTATGGACCAATCTTCACGAAATTTTGCATATAGGAAGGGTTTTGGCCAGTGAAGACCCCTATTGTTTTTGGTAAAGATCGGTTAATATTTCGGGGATGATATGGACCAAATATTTAATTTTTGTAAGTTTTTCTGGTCGCTCTAGATGCCGCAAATATGACCCGAACATTGCGAAATTTTACATAGAGAAGAGGATTGGGCCAGAGAATATGCATGCCTGCTTTGATAAAGATCGGTCATTATTTAGCGGGTCAAATGGACTCTGACTTTTGTGTGAAAAATGACAAACTTTGTATTCTATGGCGTATATATTTACTTGCGAAGCATATACATCCACGAAGTTGATAGTGTATCCAAGAGGAATGGTTGATCTTCAAAATGACTCCAATTACATTGTCGTATGTAATCGGATGTGGGAGTTACACACAAATATTTACAGGTGCTTACGTATTCAGATATTATTTAGTAACCCATTACCTCACTAGAGGGCGGATTTTATGTGGTTTTAATTACTTTAAAATTTTCCATGAAGTTCCAAATATGGTCAAAGACAACGCCTATAATTTTCGATAATAATCTGATTAAAATTTTGGGATGAAGTGGGCCGAAAACTTAATTTTTTTGTGTGTTTTCTAGTTGAATATAGGCGAACACCACAACACAACCCACCGTGAAGGGAATCGGAATAAACATCCGAGTTCCGTGGTAGTTGTGTAGGGTATCGTATGGTCGGCCCCGTCCGACTATACTGCTCCGTTCACTGGTTTATTTATTATTTATAAATTATTGCTATCAACATTTCTACTAATCTCAAAGTTTACATTCCAATGTACAATACGTCATTTCAAGATATTATTGTTGTTTTCAAAGATATAGTTCTGTTAATAGAAAATAGCCCACAAATGTTTTTAATTTCGAAACATCAAAGAAATCCTGACTGTCATTTTGTAAGTAATTATTTTCAAATCCAAAAGATGATCATTCTTACAACATAAATCAATTATTACAAATTACTTATATATAAGTATTTTTTTTTGTATTTTCGGTGGGGTGTCACATCTTTCTACCAAAAATGCTCAATATTTGTCCTTGTTCAGATATAAACCCCAATAACGGTACCACTAACGTTTGGTATATTTCTAACCCAATTTTCAACATTAGAGTCTGTATTGTCTTCTTATGGCAGCAATTTACCACGACATATCACCCATGTAGTCCCTATTGATTTTAGAAATTTTGAATGGTGGACGTTTAAAAAGTTCAGTTTTTTTTAATAATCTATCAAAGGTGGTGCCCAATAGGCCAATCTACTTAGAAAATATTGTCTGTATATGTCCACTTCTTTGTTATATAGCATCTATAACAATCCTGATAAGAAAAAATATTTGCTGGAACCTGATCAGTAGCAGTACATACGATGCTTCCCCGTGAGACGCTCTGAGAAGACCTGGACTTTATAAAAATTTATTTTCCATGCACTAAACCATGGCGTGTGTTGTTAAAAATATTTTCCAAGCGATTTTTGAAGGGGGCAGATTTAAAAAAAAATCCTGGGAACTATTAGGTGTCGTTGTTATCTTCAAAAATATTTTCCCAAGAACTAAATTTTTGTTAGTATTTTTCCATGAAATTTTGTCGATTTTTAGAAAAATATTTTCAGAAGTGGTGGCTTGTTGTTTGGAACACCATTTGTATTGTGTTATTGCAAAATAGTCAAGCGTAATTCGGATCTCACCATTGATTGTTTTTTGTTAGGGATATTATAGTTTCTTAACAAAAGAAATACGGGTTTCCTAAATACATTTTCCCAAGAACTAGTGCTGGATTAAACAAAATTAAAAAAAAAAAATATTTCTAATAAGCTAAAAAACTTCATTGCCAGTATACTCTAACATAAAAAATGTTGCCATCATTTCTACACAGTAAGAAAATCTAAGAAGAGAAAATAATCGCTGGAACCTGATCAATTGCAGTAAATTCGCAGCTTATCGGTGAAAATTTCTGAAAAGTCGCAAAGTTTTTGGAAAATATTTTCCTGGGGGATTAATCCTAGGTGTGGATTTTCAAAAATACTTTCCCAGGGACTATTAAATGTTGTGGATTTTTAAAACGTGTTTCCACAGAAACTGCATACTATTACAAGTTGTGGATTTGATCAAAATATTTTCCAGGTATTATTACAAGGTGTGTATTTAGTAAAATCCCAGGGACTTTTAAAAATAAAATAAAATATTTATGCAGCTATTTATGTGGATTCTCTAAAAAAAGAATTTTAAAACTAGTGAGCGGAGCAGTATAGTCGGACGTGGCCGACCATACGATACCCTACACAACTACCACGGAACTCTAACTTTCTGCGGATGTTTATTCCGAGCCTGGGTAATATTTCGTCCCTCTAGTCTGATTAGAGGTCAATAGCACCTCTTCCTTTCACTGACATATTTTCCGAAT